AGGATAAAAAAGAAAGGAAGGAAGGAAGGAAGGAAAGAAGGAAGGAAGGAAGGAAGGAAGAAATGTCATATCCTAAAAAAGACATCTTGAAAATGCCTAAAGAAAGTTGTCATTTTTTTGTGGTAAAGGGACTGGAGTCTGTGTAGATGAAAAACCTTGGCAGCTGTGGTGGCCAGCAGTGGCAGTAGCAGCAGCAGGGTGATGGGAGTGGTGCCTTTCCCTGATCAGCCTGCTGGCCTCCCAAAGACGGAGGTCAGACTGCAGCTCCCTGTGGGGGGAGCCTAAGCCGGCAGTCAGTAGGACATCCCCTGAGGGCTCCAGGACTGTGAGAGGGGGCAGGCTGGGCTGGGGGATTTCCGCCTCCCCTCCCCCAGTGCACGAATTTCATGCACCAGGCCTCTTGTTAGTTAATAATAGTCCAAGAATAAACTGTGTTTCGCATACTCACAGCTGTAAACCTACTTTTGCTTCACCCTGTATTATAACAGTTTTTGGGCGAGTGTTACAACAAAAAGTCTAAAGAAGTTTGCTTTGAATCTAACTAAACAATAGGGATCTTCTTTTAGACGTTTTCAAAAGGAAGACTGTGGGTGGTTGTCAACACCAGACCTTTGTTTGAAATAGCTAGGCTGGTAGTCACACCTGTGTTGGGGTGGGTTACAGGAGGGATAGCGAGTTGTGGTTATTCTAGATCAGCTTAGAGAGAGGAGAGCCCTTATTCAGCCAGTCTGCTCACCTCCATGGTGAGATTTGTGTTTCCTCCCTTTCACTCCTGCTAAGCCCAACCAGAGCTGCTACTGCCCTTGAATGGACAGTGAGTTGGTGTTACCCACGGAGAACCAGAATTTAAATTGTACCTCAATGTGATGCGTGATGCAGTCGTGCCCAGATCTGCATGGGAAGCATTTTGCAAAAACTGACAAGAGCTAGTTAACAAGTTTCTCTTGTGACCTTTGGATTTGTTCTCTCCTCCTCTGCCACAGGTCTGATCATATTAGTTATAATAGGAAAGAAATAAGGTTCGAAACTCGAAAAGATTGCAAGAATACTGTGTGTGCATGTTTTCTTTTTATCTAATTTAAACCATGAAAACAGATACTTTTCAATCTAGCAATAATGTGCGTCTGTGCATGTGCATTTTAAAATGTGCTTTTAAAGGGAGACTTTTCAGAAAGTGGAAAATGGCAACATATCACACATTTAGAAGCCTGGGCCATAGCCAGCCCAGAGAAACGTGGGAAGGATGCCCACTCTTGTTGATTCCCATTTCCTCCCTACACTGTCAAGAAACTTTGGTTTGGGGTATCAGTATACAGGATGGGTATACCCCTATACCCAGATTAGAAGCTGAAGGGAGATGGGAAAGAAATATGAGAATACCTGCGCCCAAAGCCAACCACACTGTTTTGTTCCTTACTCTGTGCTGTTACTTCAGCTATCTTAGCAGGTATGATAAATTGGCTCAATAAACACCAATTACACATTTCTTCCTTCTCTTCCTTTACTCGAGAAGTGAGAAAACAAAAATACTGCACTTCCCAGCCTCTTTCGCAGCCAGGGTTGTGCGTGATCTATAATTCTGGCCAAGGAGATGTGAGTGAAACCTCTGGGAGGCTTCTCTTCCCTTATTTACCACCCTCTTCCTCCCTTAGACCGCGGGCATGATAAATGGAGGTGCACTAGCTATCTTGAGACCGTGAGGATAAAAGCCAAATGCTCAGGGTGGCTGAGAAGGGATACAGAAGAGGGCCTATTTATTTGATGATATCCTTGGCACCTCCATCAGCTCTGGGTTTCCAACATCGAGACTTCTTATTGCGTGAGAAAAAGAAACCACTTTCTAGTTTAAGCAACTATTTGTAGCTTTAAATGTTATTGTACGGTTACTGCTGTTGAACACAGTCTTGAGTAATATTCATTTCCTTTTTACGTGGTAGGGCAGACTGGCCTGTTTGTCAATTTGTATGAGGCATGTAATAAATGTAGTGTCCCATTTTCTCCGTGTTATGTCACCTACTTTAGTCTTGTCTCTGTCCCATCCTCTTTTAAATAAAAGCAAAAGCAAAGGTTGGAATGCAGCTTAGCATGAGTGGTATCACTCTGACATCATTTCAGTACGTTTGTGTGTCATGTGCTTTGCTGGGTGCTCTGAATATAATGGTGAGTGGGATGAGAGCCTTGCTGTTAGGGGTCTTGTGGGCGAATTGGGGAGACCACACATAAATGCACACTGTGGGTGAGTGCTCTGGTAAAAGCCCATGGTGCTGTGAGAATGCAGAGATAGGGCGTGAGCCAGTTAGTTTTATCTATGTAACAAGCTACTCCAAACGCAGTGGCTTAGAACAGCAACCATTTCCTTACCTCGTGATTCTGCAGGTTACCAACTTGGGCACTAGCAGCTGGGCACTTCTGGTCTTGGCAGGGCTCACTCATGCTGAGTTGGCGAGGTGTAGGTGGTCTGGACTGGCCTCCCCGACCCAGGACAATTTGTAGTCTCTCCTTTTGCATGAGCTAGATCTGGGACCAGATCTCTATTCCTTCTGAACTCCAGTAACCTTTAAGTTAGCATTTGTGCCTTTGTTATAATTATTTTTACTATATATCACATGGAAAGCTCCATGAGAATCTAACTCCCCAGGACGCATATTATTCAGATAATAAGGATTTGGTTTTGTTGAATGAATAAGTAAAGGCTTAAAATGAATTACACTTTGTCTATGTACAGATCGTTAGCTTATTTGTGTCTATTCCCTTAGTTATGTGGCGTTGCCTGCTGGAGACTTTTCTTTGTTAGAAAGATTTATGCACTGAAGGCAACAGGCCACTGAGGTGGATATATGGAACATAAATAAAAACAAAAAATTCAGTTGACAAAGTATATGCTAAGCTTGCAGGCAATGCAGGGGCAGGTATTAGTGTGACATCCCAGAGGAAAGTTTGGCAGAATGTAATAATTTTACCTGCATTTGGCCTTACACAGCAGAGGGGAGCTCACCAATTTATACCAGAGGGGAACTCTTGCCTTTGTTCATCATTCTTGTTAGAAAGTTTAATAGTTCTGATCATTTCGAATTTGTACCCAGAATGGCATCGCCCTAATTAGTTCTTTTTCTTTGAAATGATTTTATTTTGATGTTGATCTTCCTCTGCAAAATCATTTAACAGGCCTCACAGTTTTCTGGCCTCTCAAATGGGATGCCTACAGCAGCTATGGCAGAGATAAGAGCTCTATGGTATCACCCTAATTTTATAGGTTAGGAACACTGAAAAGGAAATGGGGGAGGTTGGAGAACTTAGTAAGGTCACAGAGTAGAATCAGAAAGCACATGTTGCAACCTAGTGCCGGCTCTGTCCGAACATTCCAGTTTCAATGCTCAAAATAATTGGAAGTGTTAATCAAGATGTTATTGCTTTGCCAGCATGTTAATAGATAATTCAGTAGTATAACACTCATTTGACAGTTCATCATAGTCATGTGAGGAGTTTCTCATCAGGGTCAGCAGCAACTAATAAGTTCCTTTTTACTGCCTTCTTTGTTAGAAGGGTTCAAAGCAAAGCTTAAACCAAACAGGGCAAAAGAGCCTTCGTAACTGGTGTGTGTTTTAAAGGAAAGCAAAATCTTATAAGTGGAACTGATAGGAAGGTGTGACACAGCCTAGAGTTAAAATACCTTTGAAGACAAATGGCTTTTTGATCTCTTGAGACCTACAGATGAATTAAAACCCCTCTGTATATAGACCAGTGTGGCTGATCACTCAAATTGCGATTTTTTTTTTAAATGCAGAAGTAGTACACTTAGAATATTGTCTTCATGTCAGAAAATGCACCTTCGTGCTTGAAAATGATAAAAAATTAAAATCGATCCTTACAACTGTTCTGTTCATCTTTATTGATCAGGTGCAAGAAAGATAAATCGCAGCCCAAATAAGATTATAGAAAATGTTAGCATCGGAGGGGACTGGAGGTTGATAGAGAGCCATTCATCATCTCAAATGGTGACCTGTCCATTCTGCAGCCACCCCGAGTCAGCTGTCTAATCACATACCTATTGATTTTATCTACATCCAACCAACCTGGATGTGACTGTCATTGGACAACCCAGATTGTTAAATGCAAAGGGGTCACTGGTGTGAAGAGGATTTCATTTTCATTTTCTCACCAACCAACAATGATTTATGAAAAAATAAACTACCCCAAGTCGTGCATGTGAAGCTTGAGTGATTAGAGAATGGAGGTGCACAATAGACCGCTGCATTGTGTTCGTTTGCACTGCCGTGCCTTTTGCAGGATATTTCATTGAGTCTGAAGGCTCCCGGGGTCATCGAGGCCACCCCCTGCAGACAGGCTGCAAAGTAGCCAGCCCAAATGGATAATTTTTAATCTTGCTTCCCCAGGAAAAGCGTTACTTTGCTATTACAAATTGATTTATGTTGCTTATGTGTTCATTCATGGAATAATGGAAACATTTTTTGGTATAAAAATTATGTCAATCCATCCCTTCATTCTTACTGATTAATTTGTTATAAATGTTGCTGCTCTTGTGGTCAGCTGGAGGTGATTGAACACATTCTACTCCATAGAGAATCCATCTTGAAGACACAAATACAGTGTAAAAGGAAATGATCTTTAATATCCCAGGTGGAACACTGGAATAATAGGCCAATGTGATAGGCGTGAATTTCATTATTCAGTCTCAAGCATCTTTTAATCTTACAGTGATCGATTCCAAATAAGGGAGATCTATGTTAGGAGTTTTATCAGAGGGATCAAATAATGAATTATAACTATGCGAGTTTACACTGTAATTTCAACCTAGGTACCCACAACTGGATACTGGTACATGAAATTTTATAAGAATCCATTCCACTTGTGTAAGAAGTCTTTCTCCTACTGCTTGAGTGGCTGAAGCAAGAGCTTATGTGTTTTTTTGCCATTGTACACCTTGCACACGTTTTGTCCTCTTGGAAAGTGAAAACTCTGCTATCAATCTTTATCCACAGAGCTCAGAGTTCTACAAAGTCACCACTGAACAATATCAGAAAGCTGCTGAGGAGGTGGAAGCAAAGTTCAAGTAAGTTTTTAAAAGTATTATAATTATTCTTTTTGACAAGATGAAAGGACAACTTCATTGCTTTTTGAACAGGAGGTTGTTTGGTGTGTAGCCCTCTGGATAACGTGGAAGTAGGTGGGTTGAGATGGACCCCTGTTATCTGCTATCGTAGAATTCAAATGCAAGGACAAGGCATTTGATGAAAGCTTTTACAACTTGATTTTATGAACTAAGGGGAAATAGAAAGCAATAGTATTAGAATTTTCATTTGTGAATATATAAGATAGGCTACCCTTGTTAATAAAGGCGATATTAAGTTGCCATGTCTTTTAATGAAAACATAGAAATTATTCACTTTTGCATAATAAAATGATGGACATGTCAAAATTGGGGTATCCCTTTTTCTCATGTTTAAGCTGTTTCATTTATTCACATCTACCTTGAAAGCATTTAAATCACAGACTTCACCTTACCCTGGATTATGAAGGTGATGCTATTGGGTCGGCAGCTAAGTAATTGCGGGTTTCACACTTATATGGCTTCAGTTGAATTTTTAGGTTTGCAGACGTAGTACAAATGTAAAACACATTTTGTTATTTGATAGTTGGCTATTCAGCTGTTAATCAGTAAAAAAAGTTTTTTGATCTGTTTTGTAGTTTTCGTTTGGCGTTCGTTGAAAAATGGAAAATCAAAAGGAACATTTTCGTCATATTTTGCTTTTTTATTTCCGCAAAGGGAAAAACACATCCCAAGCTCATAAAAAGTTATGTGCTGTTTATGGTGACGAAGCCTTAAAAGAACGGCAGTGTCAAAATTGGTTTGCCAAATTTCGTTCTGGTGATTTTTCACTCAAAGATGAAAAACGCTCTGGTTGTCCAGTTGAAGTTGATGACGCCCTAATCAAAGCAATAATCAATTCGGACTGTCACAGTACAACACGTGAGATTGCAGAGAAGCTTCATGTATCACATACATGCATTGAAAATCACTTAAAACAACTTGGCTATGTTCAAAAACTCGATACATGGGTTCCTCACGAACTGAAAGAATCACAGTTAACGCAACGCATTAGCAGCTGCGATTTGCTAAAGAAACGTAATGAAAATGATCCATTTTTAAAACGACTGATAACTGGCGATGAAAAATGGGTTGTTTACAACAATATCAAGCGGAAAAGATCGTGGAGCAGGTCAGGTGAACCAACTCAAACAACATCAAAAGCTGATATTCATCAAAAGAAGGTTTTGTTATCAGTTTGGTGGGATTACAAAAAAATTGTCTACTTTGAACTCTTACCACCCAACCGAACGATCAATTCTGATGTCTACATTGAACAACTAACGAAATTAAACAATGCAGTTGAAGAAAAGCGGCCCGAATTGACAAATCGAAAAGGTGTTGTATTCCATCATGACAATGCAAGGCCACACACATCTTTGGTCACTCGGCAAAAATTCATGGAGTTTGGTTGGGATGTTTTGCCACATCCACCATATAGTCCTGACCTTGCACCATCTGATTACTTTTTGTTTCGATCTTTACAAAACTCCTTGAATGGTAAAAATTTCAATAATGATGATGATGTCAAATCGTACCTGATTCAGTTTTTTGCTAATAAAAACCAGAAGTTTTTTGAATGTGGGATTATGATGCTGCCTGAAAGATGGCAAAAGGTCATTGATCAAAATGGGCAATACATTACAGAATAAAGTTATTTAGTTCCATGAAAAAATTGTCTTTGATTTTCTTAAAAAAATCCGCAATTACTTAGCTGCCGACCCAATAAATTGCTACCTTTATTAAGGTTCTGTAATTGATGGATCAACGTATCTGTGACCCATAGTTCTGTACTTTTCCTTTGCTGCCAGGTCTCACATTAAGTAAGAAGGCATCATTCAGAATTTTCCCAAGTGTATAAATAGTGCTATTGTGTAACCTCTGTTGGTAGCAACACACACACACACACACACACACACACACACACACACACAAAAGGTATTGTGACATGTTTAGTTGAAAGATGGCATTGGGCTCTGACTGCCTTCCTTGTGCATGTTTCTGAACATTTGATAAAATGATTGAACCCCAAGGTAGAATGTTATTACCTTTTGCTATCATGTAATTTGTGTGATAATGGATATTAGTGTTATTTTAATATTGATTAGAATGTTTTTTAAAGATGGTTTGAGGTATATTTAAATACACAAAAACCTCCATTCTTCGTTAGTAGATTATTTAGGGGCCAGAGGGAGAGACCTTCTAAGAATGGTGGATAAATCTCACTCTGAAAGGGTTAATATGCTATCTTAAGAATTTAAACATAGAATTACATGTAGACTTGATTTTAGAATGTATACTATACAGGTATTTTTATGATTTTTATCTTCCCCCCTAATGATAAAGCTACATTTTTAACCTTTTTTGTCTCAATACTATGAGAATTTTTGACTCGGTGCCCTGGCTGTTTCTTCATTACAAGATAATAGGTATAGAAATAACAAAAACTTGAGATAAATCAAAGGAAATCACTTTTGACTAGGATGATATAGGAAGTCATCATAAAGATGAAGTTTTAGATGAGGCTTGAAAAAGAGTTTTGGTGGAAGGAAAGGTGTTCAGAAGAAAAATCATGCTCTACAGTTGATGGGTATCTTCGATAAGATCCTCACAAAATAAAGTTGGAAAGACTGATAGGGTCATTCATTAGCTGTTGGGCTAAGAAGTGGATCTTCATGTAGCAAGAAGTCTTTGACCAGGTGAGTACCTTGATATCTGTGCTTTTTTAAGAATATTAGTGAATGTGAGCTTTGATTGGAGGCATGAGAAACAAAAAGTGGAAGTACTAGATGAGAGGTCTCTATAAGTGAAAGAAAAGAGACTGATGCAAAGAACTCATTGAAAGATTAACAAGAATCAGTGGTTGATTGGTGAGTTTGCTAGGGCTACCAGGACCAAGTACTACAGACTGAGTAGCTTAAACAATGGAGTTTACTTCCTCACAGTTCTCGGGGTAGAATTTCAAGGGGCCAGCAGGTTGGTTGGTTCTGAGGCTTCTCTCCTTGGCAGGTAGATGGTTGTTTCTTCCCTGTCTTCCCATGGTCTTCCCTCTCTGCATCCATCTCCTAATCACCCTTTCTTTTTATAAATCCCATTTGATAAGGGTTCATTTTCTTGACTTCATTTTAACTTAATGACCTTCATACCATGCATCAGAACTTCAATATACGAATTGAGATGGAGCGGACAGTTGAGCTCATTCACCTGGAGAGAAGGAGCAAAGGAGAGTCTAGACTCTAGCAGATGTGAAGATTGGTGGAAGCTGGATTTTCAAGAGAGAGGGGTAAAACGGGTTTTAGGTGAGAAGACACTCTCCTCCCATGTAATTTAGCCGGGAGAAGGAAAAGCTGCTCGGAGCACAAAAATAACGTCATGAGGACTTACCTTCTCCAGGACAACATGTGAATCCTCTCAGCGAGAAGTTTAGGGTGGTTTGGGAACCCCTTGAACTTGCTAATAATGTAAGAAGTGAGAACAGCCCTGGCTGGTTTGGCTCAGTAGATAGAGTTGTCGGCCTGTGGACTGAAGGGTCCAAGATTCGATTCTGATCAAGGGCACATGCCCAGGTTGCAGGCTCAATCCCTTCTCTCTCATTTATGTTTCTCTCTCTCCTCCCTTCCTCTCTGGAATTAATAAAAAATATATATATATTTTTTTTAAAGTGAGAACAGTTGGGGGACAGTACCCTTAGACTTGGTAGTTGGCTAACTCTAATACAAACAAAAAGTAAGGTTTTATATACTGTTACAGACTTTTAAGAGCTAGTTTTGCAGAGTAGCTTTCATTATATAATTGTTTTTCCAGCTTCTGCCTGCTAGACTGAGCTTCCTAGAATATTGTATTTTGCTTTGCAGTGATTTCATTAGCTCACACCTAGGAAGTGGTGGTGCTTGGGCTATAGAAGATGTAGCTATGCTCTTCGGAGGCACAGAGTTTGCTCAGGGAACTTGGTTTCTCCTCAGAAACCTGGCCATCTCAGATAATCATCTCAGATCACCACAACAAGGTCAGTCTCTCACAGGGCAGTGTACTGGTCCGTCCACTGCATGACTGCAGCAGTTCCTCTGAGAAGCGGGCTCGGAATGACTGAGGAGGACTTAGTTCAGTTTTTTTTCTGATGGAGGGATTCATTTGGGTGCATCTTGGTTACAGGAGCTGGAAGTTTTTTAAATTGCAACTATAAGGGTGATGTTATACACCTGATTGGGGGGGGGGGGGGGTGTCTCGCAAAATCTCTGTAATGAGAGAATGCTGCGAGCATTTGAGGCCGTGCATGGTGAACCTCAGTCACATTGATGCATCCTGCCCTGAGAGCTAATGGAGTTATTTTAGGGATGCTTAAATATTAACTCACACTCAGGCTCTCAGGTTATAGTTTTGGCAGTAAACCATTGAAGCACTGTGGATTTAAGGGGATTTTTTCCCCTACTTTATCAGTACCTGATTCCTTCTTAGAGCTCCTGTGGGGCTCATCCTCTGCCGAGTTCTGAATGGACAGCTGCGAAGAGACAGGAGGCCTTGCTAGCAGGGAGCATAGAGTTCACCAGCAGGAACAAGAGGAAGGAGGAGTTTAAACAAAGTGTTTTACAGACACAAAGTTAGGTCTGCTTTGATGGGCTAATTACATCCCTAATATTTACCTTTTTTTTCCCAGGGGGAATTAAACAATTTGGAGATAAAGAATCTGTGCTATTTATTTGCCTGTAAGAACTTTTTGCCCATAGTAGCTTTAAAATTTTAGCTTCTAAGACTCAAATCACTGAGCAAATTCAACATATTTTACATCTAATTTTTATTCAACAGATAACCTTTTTTTTCCCAATGCAACCAGAATAGTCATTCTTAGCACTTCACATCATCTTTACCACCCTTTGTTATTATCTGTTACCTAGAGCAACTTATGTGCTAGTTACTGGTTATGGTGATGATATCAGGTTATAGCTCAGCCTACAGAAAATTATATT